CTTTCTTCTTTCTTCTACCCTCTAAGTTTATATTTGTAGCCTGAACCAGGGAAAGGCGGGGTAGGTAAAAAAAGGGGGCAGTCAGCAAGGCAGTGATTTTCTCAAGAAAAATAATGAATGCAGCTGGCAGGAGAAAATTCTTGCACAAGTTCAGGGCAACAGGCTAACTTTATCAGAACTATTAGCATTTCCCAGGAATGCATGTTTACTGTAGTGAGGTGTTTAAAGTAAAGAACATCAATAAAAGGCAAAGTAAAAGCTGATAGTGAGGGGTTTTGTTCCATATTCCAAGCAGACTGCTTCAGGGGATTTGTTTCAGGAAGGTTTTAACATCCCTGACACTGGCAATGAAACCACACTACTACAATGTTGGCCACATCTTTGGGGGTGCATGCGTGATATTCAGAATCTACTAGAAGCACCAAGGAAAAGCCCATGCACATACTGAATGGGAATGCCAGTCCATTCTTCTCTATAAGTTGCAAGGTATCTTCTCCACAGGCACTTGTCAGCTCCATAAAGGGTGGTGAACAGATCCTCTCATCTGCAAGACAAAAAAAAAGACTCAAATGGAGATGAGGGGTTTAGCTTCTCAGCTGCATCATTACCAGCTCTCTCCATACTAACTGCTTCTTGACAGTCAGCTTTACTTTAACAGTTGATATTAAAGCACTGGAAAGATTATCAGGCAGGTCTGAATTTGGGTTTCTGAAAACATTTCAGAAGACGAAAGGCCCCATTTTCAAATAATCTAAATGGAAATACAAAGCCTGTATTTTCACAGTTAGGCAGCAAAAATGATCACCCACTTAGAAATATGCAGTTGTACAAGATTTAGCCAGTGAGGTAGAAAAGCAATTAGGATCTTAGTTCTTAACACTATGCCTTCAAGTACAATTTTCTACAGCAGTTTATGAAAACCTGAATGGTCAGCAAGTGTGGCTGGAGTAGGCAGTCTCACAAAGCCATCATTACTGTAGGGCCCCTCAGATGGCAGATTCCAGTGCAGATTTACTTCAGCCAAGGTGCCAGCCATGTAATACATCCCACTGTCCATTGGGACCTCTCTGCCATGAAAGTAGTGCTCATTTGGTCTGGCAAAGCCAGTCAGAGCACCGTTGAGGCACTGAGACACCTTGGCAAGACTGCTCAGTGGACTTTGGTTGAAGTGAAAAAACACGGGAACAATGGTAAAATTTAACACAGCACGTCTGCTCCAGGGTGCTTCTGTTGACGTTATGCTTGTTCACATGGGGTTGCAGGAAGGCTGGAGTCAAAACCCAGCCCTCTTAGAGACTCAGTAGGTCAAATTGCTCTAGGATTCATGTCCTGTTCACTGTAGGAGAACTTTGATTTCCCTGGAAAAGGGGAATTTGCAGGAAAGGGGGAAAGCACTGTAGGACTCAAAAGTACTTGAGCATAAATCTCCACTGCTCAAGAGGGCTGGGTTGCAATTTCAAGTGCAAAGAGAACCTTGGCTTCAGCCACAGCACTGGGACAGGTCAGGAGGCCCAAAGACTTTCAGACAAAAGCTGTGTGCTTGTTGACAAAGTCAAAGCAAGAACATCACCCAAGTGAGCAAATATCAAATTTAATTCCTCAGCGAGCACAGTCTTAAAAGTACTGCCTCCACAAAGCTTTAGCAGAGGCCAGATTAACTTTGGAGTCACAAATGAGTTATAGCTCAAGTTAACTGCACAGTACTGAACTGCAATTCAGAACGGGTCTGCCAAAACTCACTTATAACACTTATTTCAAGTGAAACAGCATGACACCTTCCTCCAAGAAGCAACTGGAGACCAGCACAAATGATGGGAGCAACTGTATTTGGCAAACTGAAGTCACAGGTTTATATCAGCCAGCAACTTGTCTTGAAAATAAGCAAAACGTGACTGTTGTTACCATCCACATCTATCCCAGCAAGCACAGAGAATCCAAACAGGTGGAGGCTATGCTGTGCAGATGGTGCAGAAACTGAAAAGTATATATAAACTAAAACTCCAGCAAAACTAACAATATACTCTGAAAGCGCCATGCATCCAGAAACTGCTTTATAAGCGTTGTTTAGAGTAATGCTTTTCACTTCATTATATGTTTATGTATGTTCCCTCACACAGAAGAGAAAATTGAATCACTGAAAAGAGTGGCAAAACTCTCTATATTTTGGTACACGTATCTCCATACATGCTTCCACGCTCTGAGAATATCTGAGAACTCTGGCCATTAGCAATACTGTTGCTACAAAAAGTTTTCTGTGAAAAGAAAAGACTATTTTCATACATCCTAAAAGGAGCAGAAAGATTGATGCTTTGAGGTCAACCTTTACAAAGCTAAACAAAACATCCCAGACTTCAAAGCTTTCAGTTCACTGCTATGAAAACAGAAAGCAGTATCCAAAAGTGACAGGTACTGTAATATTTACAAGCCTTTGCCAGAGCAAAAGTTCCTTAGTTGGATGAATTTAAGGAATCAGATTTAGTTTACAGATACTTGGGAACAACTTTGGCTTGGCAGCTCTCCCACCCATATGCTTAAGGCTCACAAATAACTTTGCCTTCAGAGTGCATATGCAGAGGGATGTATGGTTCCATCTCACTTCCCTCCGTTTCTCTCCCATGCAAACAGGAATGGGAGACAGGGAGGATTCGGCAGCCCTGCCGATTACATGACACTTGCACGGGGAGATGAAAGAAGGGGCAAACAGTAATTTCTTTGACTTTGTACTTAGAAAAGACCACCTGGATCAACAAAAAGTACTAGAGAAGACTCTTAGCACCTCAAAGTGCTCCTGCTGACTTTGCAGAGCACTGGCATTTTCTCCACCAAGAAGGCAATTCTAGCCCCCTGAAGCCTCTACACCAGACCGTTAATTCACAGCCAGACCTGAGGACAAACAAACCCTCACTCAACACAACACTGCAGTATGGTCTACAGCTAGAAAGCTGCTGCTCTGAGTTTAATTGCACACACTGCAATTCTGAAGGTAGCTGTAGGTTTAATAAGATGTCTTCCAGCTGCCAGTGATGATCCTCCCCTCCTTCCCAGGGTGGCAAACACATGCTGAAGCTCGCTCTCATCACCAAGCTCCTGCTATGAGTGACAGCAGTGGCAGCACACCTCCTCTGCACTGAGGTCCAGGACAGAGCTAATTCACTGGTTGAGGGTCAATCTCAATACTGTGTTACATCAGCATGGAACTACACCATACAATTCATGAAGGGCTAACGACTGCCCAGTGGTACACTGAACCCTCCTCTCTCCTCCTGCCACGGCAAGCTGCTTTAGCAGGGTCTTACTGAGCTGCAGTCAGGTGCTGGACCCTTTGCCACTGTCACTGCTTCTTCACAAACCAGTAGTGACCAGTCACCATGCAAAACCATTGCCAAAATGGACAACAAATAAACATAATGGTCTAGAGGTGAGGATGGGTGACATGAGTCCAGCCCCACCGCTGACCCTTCTTATTGACACTACAGTCTAAAACCAAGCAATATTCTCATTTGCATCAGAGAGCCCTAGTGTGGGTGAAGCACTTCTATAAAAGTAGTCTGAGAGCTATTAAAGTATGAGGCCACAGCCATGGCACGCCTCCCGTGGGGCTGTATTAGTCGTGCACTGCTAACAGAAGTGACTCTGTATGTGTGTCAGGACATAGAGCTGATACAACCCACAACTCATGCGAGGACCCAATGCTGTTGCTCTTCCACCATCAGTGCTCAGCTCTGAGCTGTGCATTGGGATGCCACTGACTGGAAGAGACTTCTTCTAAAACAGCAAGTTTGGAAAAGACTCTGCCTCATCTTCCCTCCTTGGCTATGTCCAAGTGCCCTCAGTTCCCAAGAGATTATTACAAATGCAATTTCTATGCTTTCCACTTTGGATCTAAAATTAAAACTCAGGAATTTCCTCCCTCCCTTTGGATACATGCATTGAATCACACGATACACGGATAACCATAATTATTAACCCTATCTTCTTGCAACCTTTACTGAACCAAAGACATTAGCAGGAAGAATCTCTCCATAAGTTAAAGGACGGCTGTAATATAAAAAGCTGTATGTTTTTATACGACATGCTTAAGAGAGTGGTATTTCTTTCTTTTTCTAAGTGGCTGGTAGTCTCTCAGAGACTTGCCTTTGAAATATGGCCAGGAGTCCAGGTGGACCATGTCCAGAACTGCCAACTTAACAGCAGAAGGAAAGACTCTTCAGATCAGGAGAGGGTTCAGCTCTCACTTCAGACAAGTACCAAAAGTATCTGTAGCATTTTTGTTGTTAGAAACAACACATCATAATTAAACTTAAAAGTCAAAATGCTGTCACTGTGTTCCTCCCCCGTCTTTGTCCTCATTTTTATTGTATGCCTTGGCACAAACTTTGTGGTGTCTGCTTTCTATATTTTCCTTAAATTATTCTCCCTTTTCTTCAAGATTATCGGATCTCATAGGGAGCTCCCTCTCTCCTCTTTTTTTACTTTCTGCGTGTTTTCTCATCCCCATCCCCACTTCTTCTCTATGCCAGTCTTTTTGTCTACTGTCATTTCTGTTCTTCCACTGCTACCTACATTTTATCCTTCCATCACCTTTGAATGGAGATCACAGCTGGGATCACGTTCATTGCAAACACAGAGCAAGTGTTTGCAGTGGGACCTCTGAAGAGAGCAGGGAAGCTGGCAGTAACAGGTCGCGGGTGACAGGCAGCCATCACCTCCCTCCGCACAGTGTTGGGGCACTCAGCTCTGGCATGTCCTGCTCTGGGGTGAGCTCTGTCAGAGCACTGCTCCGTTCCCATGGAGCAACAATATTACCATGAAGGCAGAAGACATGACTGATGAAGGTCAGTTTATAGGATGAGTAACACAGCTAACCAACAAGATAGAGGTGAAAGAGTACTCAAACCAGGGTGTTGGTGCCAAAGAGGGGATTATTCCGGATCAAGTTCAACAACAGCGACAGGAGCAATGGGATGTGAAGATGGGGAACATGCAGACTAAATACTGGCTGGGCAAAAAATTTTTTGGCAGTGAGAATTGGTGGAAATCTTTGTGCTTCAGACTTGCTTTAGTAAGAGATGTTGAGCAGTGCTCCTCCACCCAGGGCCCATGCACCGCTGGTGGCTTGCAGTCAGGCTGCCAAAATCCCCAAAAGGAAGAAGGTACAAGAAACCCAACATTGAACACGCACTCCCATTCAGCAGGTAGGTAAAATAGATAGAGGAAAAATAAGAGTAATACATGCCTGTTCCCAGTTGAACCAAATCTTACGTGACAGTAAATGGAAACCACTGTGACAGGGCTGTACAAGACAGTCGCTGCATGGTTTTCCATGAGGGTGGATGGGCCTTGCACTATAAAAGGCTGAGAAGTACTGACACAGGGGATACCTATGGATCACTGTGGGGAAAAAATAAACCACAAGAACAGAAGAACCATAAACTAGTTTCCTATTCAGATTTCTTTGGTCCTTATGAGTTTGGAGAGGGATAAGACAAAAATTAATAAATTGCAGATCCAATGCTTTGCATTCATTGGTCAACAAACAGCATT